GCGAATGATTTAGAGGCGATACAATTATTTTACAGTGCTTTTGTGCTTTTATTAAAGGGTCCACATCGAGGGAAGTTAATAATGCTGAGGTCTCAAGTTCGTGTACACCAGTAACGTTTTGATTGGCTAAAGAAGAGGAGGCGGAGAAGACCAAGGCAGATGAGAATGAGAAGGACGAAGATGGCGAGGCAGAGGAGAAATAGGAGGACGAGGAGATGAAGAGTAAGATGACAATGGCAGCGATTAGAGTGAAAAGAAGGAGGAGGAGGAGGAGGAGGAGGACCAGGACCATGTGGGAGGAAGAGAATAATTTTTAATAATCCATGGATGGGTTTAACAAGAGACCCCCAGTGATAAACAAACAAACTAGTTGAAAGGTGGTGGCAGCAGATGCGAAGCACCAGCAAGACAATATTTGGCTACTTCGCCTTAAAACGGTCGAAACCTCACGTCGATTATATTTATTAACAAAAAGGTGGCAAAAGGATTCTGCCAAGTTGAAAAAATAAGCAAAAATCCTATCGCTAACCCTTAATTTTCCCAACTACTGAATGAAATGGCGACTGAACCGAAGCACTGCCTACCACCTATCGACAGCCTCCAAGCCATGACAAAAACGCGACAAAGGAAAGGGAGAAAAATGAAAATCTGTCAAACATCACTTCAAGTTATTTCACACGGTCAAAAGTTGAAGCAAACTGTCGAGCTAAAAAACAAAGCTTGTTGTGGCTAAACGATGCAGTTTAAACGCTGAGACTTTGGCAAAGAGGGAGAAGTCCATTCAAATCGTTTTCTCGATACGGAAGGGGAAAGAAACTAAGGCAAGTGGTCTAACGGCATGAGAGGACTTTGTCTAGCCAACACCGCCAACCTTCTGGCATGGACTGGTGCGTCTAGCGCTGCTCCTCCTCCGTGTAGTCAGAGTGTCTGGTATGTAAGGTGGGGATAGCAGGGAGGGCCTATTTAGTTGAGGATGGCCATCCACATGAGTCAGCAAGCAGGCGGACAACCGAACGAGAGTTGACATCACCGAAATAAAGGAGGGAGTTTGGGTTGACCAACATGGGCGACTACCACAGTCACCAAATGCAGGCGAAACCAACTCAATCGAGAGGCGGGGAAGGAGGGAGAGT